GGAGAATGACCATGGAAACAAACATATGCTTTTGGAGGGGTGATAGACCACCTCGTAGACAAGAAATCCACATACATCACTTCTTTGGAAAAAAAAAACCCCTCATGTCCGTCCCTTCTTGCAGCCAGATGACCCACTTCCTATACCATTCAACCTTTTCATACTTCTTCACCTCCAGACTCCCTGTCTCTCCCTCTCTCTGTCTCTCTCGTCATGTAGCTAAACAAGACAGAAGAGACAGGTACATGGGAGTAGTAGATACTGCACAATCAGTGAATGTCGAAGAGGGGCTTGAGCTTGATGATGAGCTGCCACTCGTCGTTGGAGACGTCCTTGCGGTAGAACTCCTTGAGGGTGTTGATGCTGGCGCGCGAGATGAGACTGTACAGCACGTCAGACTCCTCAAGGTGGCGACCGTACGTCGGCTGGTGGCCGCCCATTTCGATCTTGACGGCGACCGAGGGCTGTCCCTTTTTGCAGACGGGAATCTGCTTGTGGTCACGCTCGATAGATGTACTAAGGATATGTTAGCTTTCAAAATTGTTCTTGTCCTTTTCTTCGTCAGAGACGAGACCAATGGGATCATGGACTTACACTCTACCCAAGTTGACGATTTCCTTGACACCAGTGACGGCGTTGGTCTTGACAGCTGCGATGGGCGTGTTGATCTTCAGCTGACCATCAACGACGTCAACACCGACGACGATGGGACCGGTCTTGTTGAAGACTGCAACCGTGTTGAGCACGCAGGGGAACACGGCCAACATCTTGGACTCTTCCTTCTTCTTCTCCAGGAGCTCCGCCATGTGCTTGGTGAAGGCATCAAACAAGTGGTAAATAATGTCTGCGGTAAAGATCTTGACGCCGACGTCGTCAGCGTACTGCTGCGCCTCCTTGTCGACCTTGACATCGAAGCAGAGCATGACGGCGTAGTCGGCCGCCTTCTCCAACATGATACCGGCTTGCATGACATCGCGCTTGTACACCGGGCCGATACCGACGTTGGCGACGGGAATCTTGCAGTCCTTGAGGAAATCAAGCAGGGCCTCGAGGGAACCGAGGGTGGACGCCTGGACACTGACACCACGACCGGTCTTCTCGACACGGCTGAAGAGAGTGGCCAGATCGGACTCGACCTCGTCGATGATGTCGTCCTCGTCGTCGTCGGGGCCGACGACCATCATGCGGGAACCGGCAATAGCACCCTCGAGACCAGGGGCACTGATCTTGACACCGAGGGCGGCCTTGACCTCCTTGTTGTGCACGTAGGCGGACTTGAGACGCAGCTCACGCATCGGTGCGGGCGTCAACAACGCACGAATGTTTGTGGTGATGGCACCTTCAACACCACACAACACTATCCTGTCACCCTCGCGCAGGATACCGTTAGACAGGACAACGTCGACAGTCATACCGAAACCTTCAATGGCCTTCACCTCGAGAACAGTAGCCTGAACCTCGGAAAGGTACATGAGGGCTCCGACCATGCGCTCTTGGGTGAGCTGAACAATGAGCTTCAGCATGTCGGGGATACCTTCTCCGGTGTGGGCGGAAGTCGGGATGAGCGAGACGTTCCTGGCCATGGACTTGTTCTCGTAGAAGAGCTCCGCGTTGAAACCCTGCTCGGCGAAGGCGACCTTGGTCTGCTCCAGACGGTTCTTGAACTCGTTCTGGACACCCTTGGGCTGCAACGCCAGAGACTCCTGGAAGCCGTTGTTATCGACCTTCTTCCAGCCGTACAGACGATCAATCTTGTTCAGGGCAACGACGAAAGGAGTCTTCCTGTCGCGGAGCATCCTCATGGACTCCAGAGTCTGGGGCTCGAGACCGTGCATGATATCGACGACGAGAATGGCGATGTTGCAAAGAGACGAACCACGAGAGCGCAGGTTGGAGAAGGACTCGTGACCAGGGGTATCGATGACCAACAGACCGGGGACCTTGAAGTCGAAGGCGCCGTCAGGGTTGACGACGGCGGTCTTCGCCTTGATGGCATCGACGGGGAAGTAGGTGGCACCAATCTGTTGAGTGATACCACCGGCTTCGCCCTCCTGGACGTTGGTTTGCCGAATCTTGTCGAGAAGCTTCGTCTTTCCGGTATCGACGTGGCCCAGAATACAGCAAATGGGAGAACGGAGGTTGTCCTTCGATCTGGCAGCCAACGCGGCCTGGTGAGCCTTCTCACGGCGCTCCGCGGCCTCCTTCTTGCGTTGGAGTTCGGCTTGACGGGCCGCCGTCTCTTTCTCGTCCTCGGAGTCGGATTCAGATTCAGAGTCAGAGTCATCGTCCTCCTCTTCGTCCTCCTCGTCCTTCTTGTCGGCCTTGCCATTGGCGGCCTTCTTCTTCTCTGCCTCTTCGTCGCTGTCAGCATCCCAGCTGTCCTTGACGTCATCTTCGTCAGAGGCAGCAGCTGCTTCCCAGTCGTCCTCCAGATCGCTTTCTGCCGCCTTCTTCTTGGCAGCAGCGGCAGCCTCCGCGTCGGCCTTCTCTTTGGCGGCCTTTTCCTCGGCCTCCTTGATGAGTCGCTCAGCTTCCTTCTTGGCGCGCTCTGCAGCCTCGGCTAGGGCCTTCTCCTCGTCGACCTGTGAACCAGTAAGTTAGCGACAGCGACTTCTTGAAGTTCACACCGTGCTCGAAATTTACCTTTTCTTGCGCCTTGCTGCGGCCTCCCTTCTTCTTGTTGTCGTAAACGGCCTTCTTCTTCTCGCCCTCTTCGCCCGGGCCAACCTTGATGCCGGCAGCAAGCATCTGCTGGAGCTTCCGCTCGTTACGGGCCTTCTCCTCCTTCTGCGCCTTGGTCATGAACTTGCCCTCCTTCTTGAGCTGTTCAACCTTCTCCTTCTCCTTTTGCTTCTTGAGGGCCTTGGCCTCCTCTTTGCGCTTGTTCTCTTCCTCCGCGGCTCGCTCCTCCTCCTCGATTCTCTTCTTCTCCTGCTCGGCGAATTCAGCATCCTCCTGCTGTCTGCGGCGGAGCTCTTCTTGCTGCCTCTGGAGAGCGGCCAGGGCGGCGGGGATCTTCTTCTTCTTGCCACCCTTCTCTTCGGCCGGAGGGGGTGCGACGGCAGCAGCGGCGGGCGTGGGGGAGTCCTTCTTCTCGGGAGCTGCTGCCTTGGCGGGCTCTGCCTTGGTAGTAGCAGGCTTCTTCTTCGCGGCCTATGCATTTTGGGCGTGGTTAGATTGGTCGTATGGATAGAAAGAGCCATTGCGAACTCACGTTTTCCTTCTTGCGCTGCTTCTCTCTCTCCTTCTTCAGCTTCTCCTTCTCGGCCTTGGTGAGGACACGGCCGGAGTTCTCGTCATCGTCAGCTGGGGCAGCGGCCTGGGCCTGCTTTCCCTTGCCACCCTTGCCCTTCTTCTCCGGCAGGGCGAACTCGTCGTCCATGGTCGCCTCTTGAGGGGCCTTCTCGGCAAGACTGGGTGACGGGGCATCCTCCTGCTCGGGTTCGGCTACGGGCTCCTCGATGCCCTTCTTCTTCCTCTTCTCTCTGTTCTTGCGCAGAGTGGCCATGAGACCACTGACCTCCTCCTCCGGCTCACCCTCGGCCGGCTTTTCGGCATCAGCTGCGGGTGCGGCGGCGGCAGGAGCGATAGTCTCGCCGAGCTCATTCTCCCAGTCGTCGTTGGCGCGAGCCTTGTTGCCCTTCTTCTTGGGAGGCATCTTGACGGTATTCGACGTCGGTAGTCGTAAACAGGACTTGGAGAAGTGTCTCTATGTAAGGACCGTGTCCAGTTTGTAGAATTAAATCAGGAGAGACCCTAAATAGCTGCCGATTGTGGGCGATCCAGCCAGTGAATGACGGCTAGAGGGACAGACGGAAATTCCCAAGGATGGGGTGGGGTTTCGATGGTTGGTGGTGGCACACGATAGAAAAGGGCTCTTTCAGCGATGCAAGAGATGAGGTGGCGAAACCGAGACCTGAATGCGATTCTGTCGGGGCCGACACGACATAATACGGACGATGCGATGCGTCTTGTCTGGGCTTCAACCGGGAGAAAGAGCGAAGGTCGTTGAGAGAGGTGGCCAAAATCTCGAGCGGGAAAACTGGAGGGCAATTCACTGCGGGGCAAAGTTCGGGCTTTGGGGCAACGTCTTGGTCGTACGGTGCACTAGGTTGGAAGTTTGGTGGTGGGCAAAGCCGCAAAAGCCATGAATGTCATTTGTACCGGGGAGGATGTGACGGTGGTCTTTGCAGCGCCTCAGGTTGTGCAGGTGCGTTTCCAGTGCCCAAGGCACCTATTTCGTACTTGACTTAGCTCAACTGAGGTCAGTTTTCTGGACCTGCCTTCACCGGCTTAACCCGCGATCACTACACTATTTAATGACTGCTTTTTAGGCATAATATGACTAATCTCGAGCCTGCCTGGATAGTCTTTCTTGGTGTACATATGACTCTTTCGAATGTGAGCTCTACGGGATGCTACCGCTGACTGGACATAACATGGTGATATCTCGTCTTAACTCCAGGCCAAGTGAGGCCAACTCACATCGAAAGAAAATGTAGGGCATTCGATAATAATTTGGTCACTGTGCGAACAAAATTCATCAAGGTGTTGTCCACTCACATTACGACGTTGTGCATGCGCTAAACGCACCAAAGCTACCCATGTTAACCCCTCCTGCTCCACAATTATGTTTCTAAGTCAGGTCGTGGGAAAGAGTGGCCTGAGTGGGTGACCACCCAGACGCTTCAACGTGTGTGAGAGCTTCACATATAATGGCTAGTCGTTGATAGGATCCAGGCTATTGTAGATGAAGCTAAATCTGTATTCACCAGTCGTCCAGGAGAATTTCGTACAAGTTTTCGCTTTAATGTCACAGATGTAGAGTTACATCTCGGACTAAGGAAGTTTTGAAGTGGACTCGGATTCTTTCCTGGAGCCCAGGGTGGCTCTTCTACTAACTAGTCTAAGTACTGACCACTCTTCTCATGGCTTTCTCCTGGATTGTACATTGAAAGCATCGCCTCTTCCGCAAAGAAGGACTCCGCCCATGGCCTTCCTCAGAGAACAGGCGCAAGAAAGTAATCCAAAATGTCGTAAGCGAGATCGAAATACCTCGTGAGGTGAGGGTCGTTGTCTTCTTGAAAAGATGCTGTCCACTTTCCATCATCCAAGCCGTCCAGATACTCTCGCAAAAGGTCATGGTTGCTGTCTCCCTCCATTATCTCCCGAAGGACCCGCTTGTCGATACACTGCTGGAGTAAATCTCCATTAATGTGCTTCATCGACTTTGGCGTGTCTTTCGCTTCCGCATCGTATTCCTCGTTGTCCACGACAGACACTTCGTAGCTGTAGGGAAACAGCAGTGGACTTCTCAGCGCTAGGTTCTCGACAAGTCGCAGAAACCGCCATGCTTGAAGGTTGAGTAGGCTGAAGTGCATCAACGAGCCGTCGAGACAGATGCCCAACACCTCAGCACCGTCTACTGTGCTAGGTATACTACCGTACCGTGGCAGATGTTCTGTCGCCACCCATTCCGGCCGCACACGGCCTCGCTGAAGTTTCCTGATGCTGGCGGGCAGCGGTCCTTCCGCAACAAGTTCCAGCTCTCTCTTGGGCTGTTTCCAAGGAGTCCAGACTGCCGTGAAGCTCCGATCCATGCCCGTCAGCAGAGTCACTGGCCAACTCAGCTCTGGGTCTGCATCATCTCCGACATCGAAGAAGTGGTTCGACTTCCGCGTTACCTGATCCGCATGGACCTGGGTCATTTCGCCGTGTGTGTTCTCTGCCTTGTGATCGATGATCACCAAGGAGTCGCTTAGGGTGAGCGCCGAGATCTTGCCGTTCACCATCCGTAGTGAGATGGCGGGTGAGTTCAGCTCGTATGTCTTTTTGCGGACCAATCTCTTTTCGACGGAGTCCAGGACGTCCCAGTGAAGGACTTTTCCAGCACAGTAGATAATGCTGTCGTCATCCCCGACAATAGAATATATGGGCGCTTTTTCCTTTATCCTGTATTTGGTGGAGAACCGTATCCTCGTTCTCCTATTGCCTTCAGGGTCATGACTCTCTTCCTTCTTGGGAGACACAAGCAACAGGCGTCCGCCTGCTGTCGTGACGATGAGGTAATGAAATGTCATGCCGTCTTTGACGAAAAGCCAGTCGTATACTGCATGAATTTTGTCGTCTTGGTTTCCCAAGCCGCTGATGAATGTTGTTGCATTCCCATGTTTGTCTTGTGGAAGAGAGAGGTCTTCTCCGGTCTCGGGGTCCAAGAAAAGGACAGTCGGCTTCTTGCCAGTCTGTACTGCAACAACTAAACACTGTAGAGTTTGAGAGTATAGCACCTTGGCAGGTGTGCCGGGCAGTGGCAGTGTCTTGGGAACCGGCCCAGCTTGCAAATACAGCTCTACAAATGACATGCGCTCTCCCGACAAAAGTACAAGTGGCGCGCGGTTGTTACCGCCCAAATCGGCGGGAATGCACGCCGCAGAGATGATAGGCGTCGACGGCGTCGCTGGGTGCTTCAGATCGGTTGCCCATACCCGATGCTTCGTGGCAAAATGACCCAGCCGTCTGGCCCCAAAGTCCCTCAGAAGCAGGAGATTGTCGTTGCAACAAACTAGTACCGAGCCAGGAAGCAATGGCGTTTCTAGAGGTACAACTTCGAGTGCGACTGTCCCCAGTCTCTCCATGAAAATCTGATGTTGAAAGGGATTCGCGGTAAATTGGACCGTGATGAGGTGTCCGCTTCGGGTACCCACGACTACACTTGTTTGCTCCGCTGATTCTGCTACCGACACGATGGTGGTCACCAACTCGATTGTTGGGGCAATATCCATTGCGTCAATTCCTTCCGCATCATGGGCTGCTTGGTCTACAGCAGGTCGTTAGATCAACCGTTCCAAAGTTTTGTAGGATAGGACGTACCCGCGGTAAGCAGTATCAACTCTGGCCTTTCTCCTGTTACGTCTGTCGGGAAGATGGCCAAGTAGGGGCTGTTTTGTCGCCAAAGTCCAGCCAGTACGCATTCCCGCCCATCGAGAGAACAGAGAGCTAGACACGTAACTTCGCCGTCGACAGGGTAAGTCTGTGTCAGGGATACTTCGGTCCCTTCTGTGCGGAAAATGTGGATTCGGAAGCAAGATTCTTCAAAGGTTGAGACGCAGATGCAATTACCCCTGACGGCTGCATGCTCAGCTATCCTACCCACACCCTCAAAGTCACTTAATTCATATCTTGAACTATCAGAACGTTAGCAAAGTCGGAGTGGGACGTGGAGGTCGAATTTTGGGGCACAAACCTGTGATTCTGGTCGATGGCAATGATACGCTTCTCGGATACCTGAACGATGGTATTGTCTCGGCTTTGCTCCGCTGCCAGAGTTCGAGACTCTGTGTCAAATTGGGTTGTCATTGGATCAGCCATCTCCGCGTTTGATAGATCAAATGATACTAGTAACACTTCGGAAGTCCCGGGGCTTGCCATCAGCATTTGATATGGCCAAGTCCCGTCTGCGGTTCTAAAAACCCATACTTTCCTCGTTGGCAGCGGCTCAAAATAAGAAATAATATTAGCGGGTAGTCCATAGCGAAGCTCTGTGATACTGCCTTGCGGTCCATTCCCAGAGGCGCAAAGAACTTTGTCTGGAGCAGTCAGATGGTCCAACGTTCTGTCTCGCCATGGTACTACAGGCTTCCCTTTTGGACCAGTCTCAGGATTCCACGACGTCAAAGCATCTGTAGTGACGAAATCAACCGAGCAGGACCAGTTTGGGATACTTCCAAGCTCGACGAGAGGCTCCCGAGGTTTGAGCTGGGCAAGTATCTTAGTAGCTGTCTGGTGAAACGCACTGGCATCACAACTTACCTGAAAGACCATCCCAGGGCCAGAGTCACCGGCGACGATGGCGACGTCAGAGTAAGCGTCATACATTGTGGTGAAGGCGGTAGAAATATTGCAGTTGCAGCTGCCAACATTCATAGCAGCGCCCAGGATATCCGTCGTATTGAATTCAAAGAAGACAATCACACCATCTTCTCGAGCCAGGTAGATAAGATCCTTAGTGTCGTAGTAGCGCCGCCTCCGTACCGGTCTATCCCAAGCTGTCCAAAGGGGTACACTAGTACCGTGATGAAAAGGGCTCGCGGGGTGGGTGAAAGGGTTGATTGTTTCAATGTTAGGGGGCCCTTGAAGAGGGTCCTTGCATATGCCAAGCGCGTGTTCGGAAACTGCGAAAAAGGAACTCCTCACTGTCAGAGGAATGATGAGAAGAGGGAGGCGATGTTCTGGTGCGATGCGATGACCACGCTTTTCTTCGGCCAGCACTTGGCCAAGATCATCTCCCCGCTCCCATTCGTAGATGACCATCTTCGACCTATCGGCCTTTGCGATGATGAGAAGGAGGATGACGTGGCTTTCGTCCTCGGGACGAGGATAAAGAAACTCCATCTTGAGAATGGTACCTTGGACTGCTCTTGGGTGGTGCGCCCTAATGGGTTTAATGGCCTTGTCAAGTATCAACTGATCGCCCATTGCCTCCATGGACTCTAGCTCGTAAACGACAAATTTGTTCTGGGCGTCCGCGACTGCAATATAGCGAGACCTGGGATCGACAGCTACGTGGAATCCCAAGTGGCCTAATCTCCTTGCTGGGTTGTGGAACGGCGATGCAACGAACTCCAGGGTGTCTCTCTCATCATCTCTTTTGATGAAGAGGAAGACAAAGGAACCTGATTCGAGGATGAGGAGCAATAAGTGCGGTGGGAACTGTCCATGAGAAGTACTGATGCCAGATCCAGAGCCAATGTCGGCCATGTGGGTGTCGTCATCTTCGTCTTCACTTTTTATGTGGTCATGGCCAGGGTCGTCTGGGACAACGCGAAAGTGCTCGTACTTGTTTCCAATAACAAGCGCATTTCGAATACGACAGCCAAAGTCGTTCTTGCGCAGCACCTCCTGAAGCTGTCCATCCTTGCGCAACTCATTGATGCTCACATAACGATCCTGATTTTGTAAGCTTCTTCACATACTCTGGAGATATTATGCAAGGAAAAGGGCAGTGAGGCTCGAGGAATGGTATATCCAAGCCTCCAGATGAGCTTGATAAAGATATTGAGTAACTCACCCCAACGAAGGCAACATCGTTATGATGTGCAGACCTTAGGCGAGCAGGCAAGACCCATCGAGCAATGGGGCTATCGATGACAGTTCTCGTCAAGATACCACAGCTTGGCGGAGCGGGGAGTGAAGGAGCGACAGCGGAGGTATTTGTGGTTGAGCCCCTCAGAACAGTTTGGAGGTCAATAGTCTCCGTCACCCAAGCACCGTTTCTAAAGACGTTTGTCTGGAAGGCCATTTCGACAGGTCTTGTTATGTCAACATGGTTGACAGTGGAGTGAAAATCTGTAGTAACGGGTTGAGTAGAGGCCGAGAGAGGTGAAATCAGAACAGAGGTATTTCGGATTTGCGGCGGGGGATATGGATACCAGATTGCCGGGTCGCGTGATTCGAAATGCCAAACCGATCAGACTGTAAGGTATGACGGTGCTGTGATTTTGTCTCCGATTTCAGGGCCACTGGAATGGCAAGCAGCGGCCGTACGACTCGAATGCGACTGGGCCGGGGCTATCTGCTGAGGAACAATCTGAGGTGAGGCAAGGAGACAGGTAGGCAACGGCGCCATGGAATGAATGGCTCCAGGTTGTGACGGTTGGGCGGAGCAAAGGTTGGTTTTAGAGTCAGTCGTACTGGGTGTAAGGCAAGAGGTACGGGCATGTTAGCTAGCTGGTGGGGCACCACGTTGCATGGAGCATTGGAGCGCGAGCTTACCTGAGAGAAAGCACCACCTCACCACACCTCAGTGTCCCAAGTGAGGGCTTTCCAACCTACCTATGGGAGACAGTAGCATGCAGGTAGCCAATAGCTGCAAAACACCTTGCATGACCGTTTTTGTCAGTATCTACCTACCTAGACACCTACCTCAACTTACCTTACCTTACCTTACCTTGGGCAAGTAAGGTAAGATCAAGTATACGGTGCTCAAGCAAAGTAAGGCAGATAGGGACGGCACGTACAGTAAGCCTTGGTTGTGCAGTAAGGTAGGTATGTGATGTAGGGCGGCAGGCACATTGGATGTGCGTGGGCGCGAGCAAAACACCGTGGAACAGAAGTGGTTGGCTACCATACCACCAAACATCACACATACCAACTAAGGCATCAATGATCAAAGAAAAAAGACCTTATCCCAGCCTACCTTACCTCGGACAACGCTCTACTTTACAACCCCAGCCTAATTCGATCTCGGTAGCGTAAAACTAAGAATGCAAGTCTGAGGCACCCAGAGCCCTAGCAACCCGAGTCATCTTATGCAATCATCGCTAATCAGAGTGTATTACAACCATATGAAGTCGGGACAAGTAGGGTATTTGCCGCTGCTCTTTGCGGCCCCAGAAGGCTTCGATGAGAACCTGATCGGTTGGCGTTGTGGCGCGCTGGACCCTGATTCATCTCAAGCCCTTCGCAGTACTTCAAGTGGGGTACCCTAGAACATCCCAAGAATGCAGCTTGTTGAATTCGCGGAAAATACCCTTCTCGGCCGAGGTACCTGGGCTGTGTCTTGGGTTGTGTCTCGACCACTGCGTGTGATTTGCATCTCAGCCGGGCTCTCTCTCCACTGTGACGGGACTTCGGTCAGTAGGGTAATGGAACGTCGGTGGTGAGCTGGCCCTGTAGACTGTTGCTGACTTGCTGAAGCATCGTGCATGCGCGACGGGGAGGTACCCATCGTGTTCCTTGCTGAGGCGGGCAGCCAAGCCATAGGCAGGCAGCCCTGGCTGAGCGGGGACTTGGTTCAGGTTGCCTCGAGAGCCCCGTTGTCTGTGAAAGACAGTTGAATGCCCTGGTTGAAATGCCTTGTTAGTAGTAGGCGAGATCATTGTGCGTGGGCAGTACTCCGTCGTGTACAGTTCATCGCGAATTAGGTAGGGACCGGGCAACACTGACGGCGGGGAAGCTGAAGAAAACGACTTCATCCGCCGTTGTCGTCCCATCTTGCAACCCTATGTCCAACATCCAATAGCAAGGTGACGTTGATCTGATACTAATCAATCAAAGGTAGGTAGGTAGTCTAGGCCTCTTTCTACGCAGTACATGGTTACGCCAATGATATACCCTACCCTACGTGCCTACAGTTGGAAGGGCACGTCCTGGCGCCATAAGAAGAAAGCTGGAATGAACCGCGGGCTCTTGCTGATTGGGTAAACGAATGGTCTTCCCTCAAGACCTTGCTGCCCTACCCAGCTGAAACCATTACTTGCCCTTGGGTAGGAAGACAATTGAATATCTTCTTTCCATTGGTGTGGGTGTAAGTCCCACATACGGATGGCTGCACCAACCACCAAGAACTTCCATACCCTACCTTACCACGACGTGAACAGTTGCATCGCCGGATTGCTGCAAGATGCCTGGCCGGCCATTTCCGCTGCAGGTTCGGATGCCTCCACTGTCTCAGATGTCGTTTACCTCGGACACTGTTTGACATCTCCTCACCTAAATACGGCCATGCTGGAATACCCCTCTGCCTCCGTTTTTCTATGTGTCTGTACCATAACTCTTGTCGACCTGTCTAATCGTGCTTACTTAGACCTTTCGCTGAAAAGGAATTCGAGAAGTCTCTTTCTGCTAACAGTCTGATAGAGTCACCCTCACGAGTCCGATACCAAGTGAGAAATCAGTGCGCATCGGTTAATACACCTTCAAGGACCAGGGCTGGTGTGCGGGTCTGGAATGCTCCAGAAAAGCAGGGGGCGCAGGACAGCCAGCCAGGGGTTATATGACCTTGGATGTTCTAAAGGTCGTGATTTCGAGATCTTGACTTGAAAGAAACTTAGACATTGCCCGACCCGATCCAGGATCGGAGAAAGCCCGGCTTGTCAACCTTTACAGCTGCCGGCTCTGAGCACAGCTGTCTGACTGGAGGAATCCTTCACTCGAGAAGAATCATGTTCATGCATGACAAAAACCACAGTCTCTCCTTTGCGCCAATACTGTACCCAAGAGAGTCAACGGAGCGGCCGCTTCGGCCGCACCATAGCCGACGAGACAACTAAAAGATGCTACTCGCTTATGTCACTCAACAAAGAACCGCCCTTACGTACTCAATTTACTGAGACCACGATGCATATCTGGAGTCACTTGGGCTGTCTTGGCTAGAAACTGGATGATTTGAACTGCAGGGCCCAGAGCAAGGTCTCTGGTCCGGCGGTCGGCAGTGAACGCATCTTCAGAGACTACGATCGATCTAACAACCGTTGTGCCAGCGCAATTAACCCCCAACAACCTAGCTGACATCTATTAAACTGAACTCCTCAAGTTGGGAAACCTGACTTTTCCATGTCATAGAACCCCCTTGGGACCTCCACATTTGACAGGATGTTGACGAGATTGTCTTACGGACCGTCTTAGGGTAGCGTAATGCCTAGGTTTGGTGAGTTGTTTAACCGCCATAGGTAGACCTACGTGGTACCTGACCCAAGGCCAGTCCAATGCAGCCGATGCCGGCCGTGAAGCACCTAAAGTAGGCACACGCATGAATAGGTGAATCGGTTTCTGAGCCGGGATTTACACAGGATCACACCGAAAATATGCCAGCCCGAAATTTCGCCTCGCTTTGGCAATTGCCCAAAGCTAGACGGCGTGACAGCGTACCTCACTGTAATATCAGAGTAGTGTCACAAGGCGTTTAATGGCAGCTCAAGTCAGGTTCGCCCTATCTGGCCCGTGCGTCCCGTCCCGGCGATCCAGGCCATGGGGGCCGGACGTCCCTGGTGAAGTTGCTCCAAACGTACGCTAAGCCTCGGCTTCAATGGTTCGAAACAGATCCATAGATCCGCTGTGGAGGAAACTCCGCTATAACCTGGCTTGTCACATTTGTGGCAGCTCTTGGACCTCCAGCTTCCCTGTTCTCACAACCAATCGTCTGTCTCTCGTTGGCAGATCGTGGACGCGTGTAATGCATCCCACTTCAACCTCAACTTCAAGTCGTTGAAGCAGTGTCCTAGAGCCAGTTCACCATTGCGGATTTCATGGGATTTCTCATTCTTCGTCAAACCAGCGTCCGTAACGCTAGGCGATAGCGACGCGCATATACCTCCCCCGAGCTCGCAGCCACATAATCTGCACGCTCCCGTGACGAGCACAACCCCTCGACTCCAACAACGGCTCGTCACGCTACACTTCTCGCAAACACAGAGGAGTCATAGAAATAGACTCGATGGACGAAAAGAATGCGCTGAGCAGCTCTGACTCTGCGGCCCCCGTAGATCAGGAACAGCGCAAGACGACCGATATCCTCGAGGCGTGCAAATGGCGGAACATAGAAGCCCTCAAAGGCCTGGCTAGTACCAAAGGCGGGTTTCTTACTGACACTCTACGCCGGAAAGCCTGTCAGTAGTAAAGCGTGCCAACCACGGCGCCGTCGTCCTGCGACGCTCCGAGGCTAACGGAACATTGTGTGTAGGGCCTATACTCCTAGGCCTTCCAGATAGCGAGGATTTCCAGGGTACAATCGCAGCTGGTATAGACGAGAAGGTCTCATGGAAAACCCTTCCAAGTCATAGGGACGAGGAACAAGTTGCGCTCGACGTCAACCGCGCCTTCATATACTACCCGAACCGTGAGACCACTCCGTTCTGCGGTGTCCCGACAGGGACTTGCGAACTCGCGGCAAGCAAGCTGACAAGCTCCACGTACAGACCAGAACGACACCGAACTCGAGAAGAACAAAAACGAGCTTTCCGATCTGATCGTCGAAGTCCTCCGTCGATACCCATACCTATGTTACTTTCAAGGCTACCATGACATCTGCCAAGTCTTCATGCTGGTCCTCGAACCACCATGGCGCGCCCGCCTTGTCTCGCGACTGTCGGTGCTCCGCATCCGAGACTTCATGCTCACCAGCCTCGAGCCGACCGTCGCGCAGCTCAGGCTGATTCCCGACATCCTCAACGCCGCCGATCCGAAGCTCAAGCGCCACCTCTCCGGCACGGAACCCTTCTACGCCCTGGCGGGGACCCTGACCATGTACGCGCACGATATCCAGGCCTACGGCGACATCGCCCGCCTCTTTGATACCCTCCTTACCCGCGAACCCGTCTTCAGCATCTACATGTACGTCCAGATCGTCCTGAACCGCCGCGACGAGCTCTTCGACCAGGAGGAGGACGATCCGTCTATGCTCCACCTCATCCTCTCCAAGGTCCCGCAGAAGATGGACCTCGATGCGTTAATCACGAGCACGATTGCGCTTTACGAGCGATTCCCACCCGAGTCGCTACCGCAGTGGCGCAAGATATCCAA